TGCCAGAGCGAGGCTGGATGTTTGCCTCACGTCCAAGCTCTCAGCTTGAGTCAAAAAAGGTAATGGATTAGCCCTGACAGATGGCTGATGCTCTCAGCAAACAAGGGCCCCCCGAGCCAGAAATCAGCCCTCTGTGCAGACCGCAGCCACGTCTGGGGGTGCAGGCCGGGGCTGATAACAGGACCGGAAACCCATCAGAGACACCCACCCCCTTACCTCTGGGCCTCATCAAAATTACCTGCCAAAGAGACCCTGCTCCAGACCAGCACCTTGTCAGCCCAGATTGTAATAGGAAACAGCTGCCCCTATTGGGAGGCGGAGGTGGGAGGAGTGGAAAGATGGGGAAAAGGACCATTCATAATTTTTCTGCTTGCGCAGAACTGTAAGTTGCAATCAGAGAGCAAGAACGGGAAATGCTAGGGACCCTGTGGGAATGATGTTCTCCAAAAAACCGAAGCTACTGAATTTAAATCAGACGGCTGTTAACCCTTAGCAATGAGTTTAGAACAGGGGCCGCAGCAGCAATCCCTGGTACGGAGTTTGACCAGGCAATTTGGGCAGGGGGAGGGGGGAGGGTCCCCGTGTTGTCGATTCCTAGTCGTTTCTGCTGTTTAGTGCCTAGAACAGTGCCTGCCCCGGGATGTGTGCTCAGTAAACACTGGTTGAGTATATGATTAACAAGTTCCTGACACGCATTTTCTAAGGCTGGAGGGTGTGGGCTTTTCAGTGAAGCACACCAGAGGTTGACTCGATGTTCATGTACTAGCTGTGCTGTTCTAGGAAAGCTTCTTAATATCCAAACCTTAGGTGCTTTATCTACAGAATGGCACTCAAACAGCTGTATTATATGATTTTAGAGAATATTAAATTAACTATGATTTCGTTCTCAAGTTTCTGCGTGAAATAGAAGCTCAGTAAGTGATAGAAGTTATCAGGGGCCCTATGGTCAATAGACCACACATCACCTATTAATTATTTCAGAGACGGCCGCATGTATTCGGAAAGACTAGGAACGATGCCAGTAATGATGAGAAATAGTCATAATAAGTAGGCTGTTCTCTTGCCAACAGCAGCCAGGGGGAGGGCCCTAGTATCCTGGTGCTGCCCAGCCTTCCACACCCACCACGCTCATTACACCTAACAGCTCGCCAAGGAGCGGTGGGCCGACCAGGCCTTGTGTCGCCTGCTAAAGCCAGAAAGAAAGGTCCGTGGGAAAGCAGACGCCACGCGGAAGGCAGGAGCAGGATGGCTGCCATCAGCATCACTGTTCCACACATTCAGACAGAGGCAACATAGCGTTTATATTAGATCTACTCATCTTTCTTTGAGTTCGGAAATAATCTCTCTGTACAAACACATAGATACATGGACACAATCAAGGACACATCTATATACAGAGAAAAAAGAGCTAATTCAAGAATTTCATATTATTCAAATCATTGTCCTCAAAATTCAAGCATATATAGGGTGTCCCCCAAAAATCTATACAACTTTGAATAATTATAAAGGCAGTGATTGTTAAAATACACTTCGTTTTCAAAATTGAGCTATCAGCTGTTAAAGTGTGTATATATTTTGGGGGATGCCTTGTATATTGTACTTATTAGCAAGACTAGGAAGCTGTACATAAAGAACTATCAGAAAACAAGATCTTAGAAATTCAAAACATGATTGCCATATACATAAAATCTCTCTCTCAATACACACACACACACACACATGCATGCAAGCACACATGCACAAATACACATACAAATATAAACTGCAACCTCCAAATGTTCTATGTGAACATTTTCTATGTAAGATTTCATTCCAGGTGATATATGACTATCAAGTTAGAGTTCCAGCCCTTCTACACTGTCCCAGCTTGCCTGCCATCTCTCTTTGAATNTACACACACACACACACACATGCATGCAAGCACGCATGCACAAATACACATACAAATATAAACTGCAACCTCCAAATGTTCTGTGTGAACATTTTCTATATAAGATTTCATTCCAGGTGATGTATGACTATCAAGTTAGGGTTCCAGCCCTTCTACACTGTCCCAGCTTGCCTGCCATCTCTCTTTGAATGCTTGAGTCCATACCCACAGTTCCGTGTGGCCTCCTCAGCAGGGTTGTGACACACACTTTTCTGATGGAGTCTCAAGCTTGATAGGAAAGTCTTCTGGTGGCCTTGAGTAATGCAGTTCTAAGGAAATACTTCAGTGGTGAGTGACTCACCCTGGACCTAATGAATATCCAACTTCTGTCGTGAGAGGGGACACTTGGAAGTATGTCAGCATTTTTCCTATGAGGTTTTGTATTTGCGAAGGACAGAGGTGCGTAGGACGGTCCTTACTGCGTGGTCTTAAGTGCCTCTGAAGCCCCTTTGAGGCAGTAACATTTCCAGTTCTGTCTGCCTCTCGGGGCACTGGAATCAGTCCTATCAACTGGGAGGAAGCGCCTCTAAGTGGTTCTGATTCATAGCAACCCCACCCGGCCGGCGCTTGACTGAACTCAGGGTCAAAAGTCACCCCAAACAGCGAGCACAGGGATCTCCTCCATCTCACTTCACAGACCTTACAGAAAAGCAAGCTCGGAAACGAACGAGCCCAGGTTGAGATTTTAAGTCTCTGTAAAATCATTTTTATCTATAGAGAAACAACTTTTTGCCAGTGTCGCTTTAGATTCATGGGCCTTTATTACGATCACCCGGGCACGGATAGGCAGTGCCTCCTCCCTGACATTGCAGTGTGTTGTGGTTTTTCCAAACACGGAGCAACATACAGGTTCACTTATTCATTTTTTAGTCTTATCATCTCCAAACCTCCTATTCTACAATTGCAAAGGGCAAAATGCTGTTAACCCCCAGTTCCATTCTGAGGACTGATTGATTTATATTACATAAAGTGTCTAAAACAATAGGAGGTGCTTGCTATATGGTAGCCATTATTAATCTCTCCTTGAATATAGTCTTATGACTACCTTGTATGGTCAGGGTTGAATAATCTATATTGCATTGTCACAGGAAATCTCACGTTCGCAGTACATTTCTAATACTCTGAAAGCCTTCTATAATTTTCTTAATATTGGCATGATTCTTGGGTTGGCTTAAAAAGGGTTTAGATAAGATGCATACTCTATTCAGTCTCTTTGTGTTTTTCCCGTTCAGACTTGTCTACCGTCTTCTCCTAAAGTGACTCTGATTGCCAGGAACAGTCAGTTGTGAAACGTGTCTCAATCTTACATTTCCTTGCAGGATACTGAGCTTTAACCCAGGGTCTGGCATTGCTCTCTGATGACAAACTGAGTCACCGGCTCCCTCCCTTCTTCCAAAGAAAACAGAAGCACAATTCCAAGGAAGCTTTATTTGTTGTTAGATTCTCAGTCTCCAGTTTCATTTCCGTCATAAAGAGCAGCAGTTGTCTGATGTGTAACTGATGGGGCAGTTAGTTTGCCTCCAAGGCATCACTGAGTTCAGCTGATTCAGCAAAAACACTTGAGTGGGGCTGGGCCTGCGTGTGCACAGGCTTCAGTGCCTGGGAATTCGTTCCCGTTAGTGGAGAAAGGCTGGCTGTCTCTAGATTAATGACAAATGAGTTCCGAACACTTTCTAAATGGTGTTTCACTTGCAGCTTCTCAAGCTGCATTTAGCAGACACTGAGGTGTGATGGCCTTTGGAACAGTCACGCGTTGTCCATGGTCCAAGAGAGCAGGTAGCTCCAATTTGTACAGCAGGCACTGAAGAACATGTGATCACAGAGAAATCAGAATCCAGGGCTTTCCACAGCAAGTGGCATATGGTAAAGGAGTGAATAAAAGGATGGATGAATGTGGGGGTTTTGTGTTTATAGTATCATAAAAGGAAACCAAGTGTGTTGTGTTTAAATGTCCACTCTGCTTGTGTTTGGGCATCACCAAGAGATGCTACTGTGACCCTCAACTGGGGAGTTCTTGGAACTCCCTGAACCCAGTGTCTCTCCCACCAGTCAGGTCTGGGCCAAGTTTTTCAAGGAAGTGGATGGAAGGTGACATGTTTAAGTATAATTTTAAAATGTAGTCTGGTTGATGGAGTTTTGATATTGTCTTGTGATGTTAATATTAACTAACAGGTAAAAGAACTCATTAAAATCTTTCCATATTTTTTCTTTTTATGGTTTTTTAACAAAATCTGTAATTGATGAAACAATGAAAAATAAAACCCAAAGAGCTAACTCATGATATTATAGATATTATGCTATAACACGAATATATTCTTTCCTAACTCAGTAATATCAAATCTAACGGAAAAGTAGGTATTAACATCATATGCAAAACTCTTCTCAACGTGGATGTCAGTGTTTATGTTCTAATGTCAATTACTAGGGTCCCTAAACAGATATTTGAAATGCTTTATATCCATAAACTGAGAAAACACAGAGCTGCAGTTGCTGCATATGTGTTTATGTAAATTTTACTTTTAAAATGCCAATTTCTAGTTTCCCAATCAAATGACATGCTACACTGAATAAATAAATCCAGTAACTCACAATGATGCATCTTGGCTGGCCAAGCATTTTATTATTTTAAAAATAAAATAAAATTCACCCTTGCAAAAATATTGTACTATTTAGTCAATTGTGTTTTGGTAATTGTTGTATGTTGCTATCAACAGAGATTGAACAGATTTCAGCCCAGCACTCCCTAACATTTAAGTACAAAATAATTAGCTATATTCCTTATCTGTATCAGTATTGAAAGTCCACAATATAATAAATACCATGCATTGACTTATTGAACATTTACCTCGTGCCAGTCAATTTACATTTCTGTCATGTAATCTTTTAACATCTCTCTAGAGTAGGTAGATTACTCTTTATTTTCATTGATAGGTGAAGAAATTGAGGTTTGGAGAGTTTGGATAAATGAACAAATGAACCTAAGTTAAAAAAAAAAAAAAAAAAAAAGGGGGGNAGAGTAGGTAGATTACTCTTTATTTTCATTGATAGGTGAAGAAATTGAGGTTTGGAGAGTTTGGATAAATGAACAAATGAACCTAAGTTAAAAAAAAAAAAAAGGTGGAGATGCCTGGAATTAAACCAAGTTACATAGGATTCTTTGGGCTATGAGCTATCACCTCTTCACTATCTTGACTTACACAAGGTGACAAAAACAGAAAGGAACAAAACTAAAGTCAGAGAGCTAAAATGCAAATAAGACATGCACACAGAGCCTACATTTAAGCAATAATCATAGTCCACAGGGCTGTTTATTTCTCTGCACTTCTCCTGAAAAGGGGAAGGAAATGTGTTCCTTGAAGGGTCTAGGGTGTTGCACCCCCTCCATTGCCTCAGTAGCTTGCATTTGGGGAGCAAATGCCAACTGATCCGTCATTTTATGTGCTGTGTCAAAGGCTATCCATATAATTCCTGAAGATAAAGNGGTACTGAACCACCCCCTTGAGTGGCTGGGTCGGGAAGGCAGACACATGCTTACATCGTAGATTCTCAGGAAGGTGCATGCCAACTGATCCGTCATTTTATGTGCTGTGTCAAAGGCTATCCATATAATTCCTGAAGATAAAGTGATTTTTTTTTTTAGCAATGTTCAAATGTAGAAATGCAGATTAGATCAAATTTTCTTAGACTTGTCTTTCTTTGACAAATTCCCTTGGAGTTTTAAAACAATTTGAAGCAAAGCCTAAACATTTCACTGAAGTTAGTTAGCATTCAGGATAAAACCGTTAGTGGCATCACCAACACATCAAAATGCCCCAACATGTGTAACATTCAAGGACTCTTTCACTTCAAACTTTTTACCATCACCTATTTCAGAGGAAAGCATCTCTGAGCCATTTAGACTTATTTCTACAACATGCTACTGAGTAATTCTCTTGGGCTCTATAAGTCACTTCAGTGGGTGATTTTAAGCCAAGATGCTACAAATTAACAAGTGTTATAAAAATGCAGCTTTCCAAAAATGTCAACTTGCCGGATATGTTGAAAGTCACAGAAAGTAACTAAATAATATTGCACTTTGCAAAAGATATTCGACAGAGAATGACCACGCACCTTTAATGCAGAGGGGAGACCCGGAAATCATTCAGACTTGGGTGCCAGTAAGGACCCACTCACAGCTTCCTTCTATGAGATTTCCGATCAGCTGTTAAAGATGTGGGGAAGATTAATTTGGACGAATAGATGTAAAATGAGATAATACATGTAAAAGCACAGGGATCGATAAACAAAATCTATGATTACTATCAACCAGAGTCATAGGCCATTGGACAGCGTGATACTAAAACACAAACTGGAGTGCAGGACAGAGTCTAGCTGCTCTGTTAGACAGTTTTGAGAATGCTTGGCAGGAAGCAGCCCTTTGGGTGAGACTCACCACCCACCAAAACCAACAATTGCAACTTGGAGGAAATGGGCCGCACTCTCATCGCTCCAACAGGCTGGTGATGTTTGTACCCTGGGGGGTGTCTAGTCTCAGGTGGAAACATCCGTCTTAAAAGTCTAGCTCATCTGTATCACATTGAATCCTGCAGTGAAAATGGATATTCTAATAGATAAGAGCATATCGTTTAGGTCCACACTGTCAGGATCCAAATCATGACTGTCGTTCAGCGCCAGCCACGTTATCTGCAGGGCCCAGCTCAAAATGAAAATGCAGGGTCCCTTGTTCAAAAATGAGAGCAAATGTGCCATTAACGATACTAAAATGTAAGCCTTTATGCTTTCTTCTACAGCCTCTCTCTCATCATGATCTTTTATCTGCTATTTAATATCAGTATAAGTAAAGAAAAATTTAAATTTTAAATGGGCACAAGTTTTACCATTCACCTTTATATTTTGCAAAACCATTTTAAATGCAAATACAAGAACACTTTTAAATTGTATTTAGAATTACTGAAATTACACAATTCATACTCAAAGCGTATGTATGCATATTAGTTTGATTTTATCAAAACAGTAGAAACAGAGCACAAAACTAACTCAACTGTTTTTATCTCACTTCTTGGTGTGTGAACATTCTACCCACACTCTTGACCTTCGACTTACTAACGAGTGGAAGAAAATTTAAGAAAATGGAATTATGGGTCATCATACCTTTCCTTCTTGTTTCATGTCATCACTCCCAGCACAAGTAGTTGGCAAACAGAGGGGAGTAAATGAATAAGGAAGGATATGATAGGACCTGGGCATTCATGTTTTCTGGAAAGTCACTGCCTCTTTTCTGTGTTCAATGCAGCTTCAGGTTTGAATAGGAAGTGTGGCCTCTTGGGGACGCCAGTGCCCCCACTTTCTCAGTCCTTGATATAGCATGTTTGCTTTGAACTTGCTTTGAGACTTTTGAATTCCCATGCACTGTGGGCCGGTCCACTGGTCACATATAGTATATAGTGCTCATGATGTCCCACGCAAACAGGGACATCATGAGCACTGTATACTATATGTGAAGTGAGCAGCAAAGAACAGCACATCCCTATGTTACACATATCTTCTCTGCTCACACCTACACTCTATTGTCCCACTGAACTTCAGTTACAAAACACAAATTTATAGATAAAACTATTAAGGAATTTAAGACAACTATGAACTAGCATTAAACCAAGCACTGGAGCCCTCTGAGCATGACGCCCTGGGCAGTCGTACAGGCTAAATACCCAGGCAGCCAGCCTTACTAGCTGTGTGACCTCAGGGGTATTACTAAACCTCTCTGAGCATCATTTTCTTCTTCTGTAAATTGGGAAAATACTGTACCTACCTCATAAAACTATTGTGAAAAACAGGTCTATTAATATGTAAAGTGCTTGAAATAGTGCCTGGCATATAGTGCAATATAATTAATATCTATTATTGGTTTTTATCATCATCTTCATCCAGTTGTTTTGGGGGAATAGGGTTTTAAAGATAATGATGCTAAAATAAGATTAAAGAATGATCCTTGAATGTATATGTCCACACCACCCATGTCCTCAAATTGTCACCGGGATCATGGAAACCTTAATCAGGTTTTGCCTATATTGGTAAGATCCACATTTAAGGCCAGACCTTCATTGTTGTCGGGGGCTATCCTGCGGAGAGTAGGGAAGATATTTAGCATCTTCCTTGGCCTCCGCCCATGAAAAGATAGTAACCCTCCCCATTTGCAACAACCCAAAATTACTTTGGACATTGCCAAAGCCTCTAAGGGGCAGAAGCCCTCCATTGAGAACCACCGCCTTATGATTACACGGTACGCATAGGGACATCTAAAGCTGTCTTGCCAAACAGGGACCGAGGCCCAAATAACCTCCCTGGGCATGCGGTGCTGCGTCAGCACTCCTGAAACCCGACCTAGCAGAATCCCAAAATCCCATCCGACTGCCACTCCCCACAGCCCGAGAGCCACCCACTTTTCCTCTCACTTCCTGAGGAGCGAGGAGCATGCTGTTAAAAAAAAAAA